TTGCTAAATGTATTTTATTAAAATATATTCATATATTTCTGAATAATTTTGTCAAGCTATTAATCTTCGTATTTATATATCTTAAGCGTTTAATATGTTACTCTAAATTGTTTTATATATATATATATATATATATATACATTGTTTATATTAAAAGGAATAAAACAATCTTATTTTTTACTTTATAATAGCTGGATTATGAAAATAAATTTGGTGATTTTAATACTAATTAAATCAGATTAACCTGTCAAAATAATGTGCTAATGTGTGCGCATATGCAATGATGCTGAATCATTGTTACAAAATTCCAACAATGTTAAGATGTCCGCTGTTTGTTATATTGCAACAAAACGTTTCAGCAATATTGCAATGTAATGTATTTAGATATATTTTTTACGAAGACTCTAAAATGAAAATTATTTCTACACATATATCTCACTAACTTCAATTTTTCTACAAATCGCATTTCTAGTATATATGTGCTTCCTAAAAGCAATTTTTTATGATAAAACCATAAAATATTCCAATAAATATAGTATTAATTCTGAAGGATAAATTTATTTAAGGATAAAGCATGTATGTGTATGCCCCGAACAAATTACACACAAATATTATCCACATTAATATGATAATACAGTCGCTTGGTAAGTTAATCGCAGTGATTCATTTTAATTCGAAACCATTCCGAATCAATTGAAATCGATTAAAAAATGACGGTATGAAATTTATCAATACAGTTCGGGCGTTGGTTTATTCTTGCATTCACATCAGGCATAAATACATTATCGATCATGTAATTAATATTTCCATAAATCGTTTTCAACAATTTAATTGCTTATCATCTTATCCGATAATGATGCATTGATTGTATCCAAACACGATATTATACAATCTTTTGATTTCATATTTACAAATCAATAACTTGTTAGAAAATCTGTCAGAGAACACTCGCAGTGTCATGTCACATTACTTTTTGACAAGTAGCATCTTTCAAGTTTACTGTAAAAATCAATCAAATTTTGAGCGGAATTCATCGCGTGGTTTCATTTCTGTAGACGATTAAAGCGAACAACCTTTATATTTTTTGCAAAATGGAAAAAAACGAGTTTCGTGCAGTGATCAAACATCTACATATGAAAGGTTTAAGGCCGAAAGAAATCAAAATTCGAGTTGGATAATGTCATAGCACATCTGCACCAGCGTTTGCGACTGTATACAATTGAATGAATTTAAACGTGGTCGTACATCCACATGTGATACACCTCGTTCGGGACGTCCAATTGAAGCTGCTACGCCAGAAATCATCGATAAAGTACACGATATTGTTTTGACTGATCGATGAGTGAAAGTGCGCGAGCTTGTTGAGGCCACAGGCATATCACATGGCACAGTGATTTCAATTTTGCACGAACAATTGGATATGAAAAAGCTATCGGCAAAATGGGTGCCGCGTTTGCTCACTGTGGACCATGAGCGCGATCGTGTAACGATTTCAAAACAATGTTTGGAGAGGTTTCAACGTAATCTAGATGAATTTCTGCGTTGATTCATTACTGTCGACGAAATATGGATCCATTACTTCACATCCGAGACGAAGGAATAGTTAAAACAATGGACTTCACCGAATGAACCAGTTCCGAAGAAGGAGAAAACCGTGAGGTCGGCAGAAAGGTGATGGTCACAGATTTTGGGATGCACGCAGTATAATTCATATCGATTACCTTCCGTCGAAGCAAACGATCACGACGCAGTCTTATTGGACCGTTTCAACAACATTTTAAAGAAAAAACGTCCCCATTTGGCCAAGAAGAAAGTGCTCTTCCATTCAGACAATTCACGGGTTCACATGTGCCCGATACCGACGGCCAAATTCAACGAATTCCACTACAAATTGCTGCCCCATTCAGCATATTCGCCAGATTTAGCCCCCTGCAATTACTATCATGTTTCCAAACCTGAAGATATGGTTCGGAGGAAAGAGATTCATCACCAGAGAGCTTATCGCCGAAACAGAGGCTTTGAAGGGTTGAACAAATCATATTATTTGTACGGCTTGAAAAAGTTAGAGAATCGTTGATTAAGTATATCGAGCTGAAAGGAGACTATGTTGAAAAATGAAAATGAATCGATCAAAAAAAAATATGTTTTACTATGTTTTTCTAAAAACTTATTGACTTGTTCTCGTAAAATAAATATAAAACTTAGCTAATGAAATGGCCATCAAATAATAGATTAATAAATATTTTATTTAAATATAGAACGGATTAAATTAATTATTATATCATAAAAACGATTGTTAAACTAAAAGACTGTATTACATAAATATTGTAAAAATTTATATTTTTATATTATTATTATTATTGTAACAATTACAGTTTTGCAATGTTTGTGGAATATTACAAGCATATTACTGCTTGGATATACGTGATTTTCAAAATATAGAAGATTTCATGCTATACAAATGCAGTATTACAATGCATATATTTTTACATATTTACATGTACATATTTTTTATTACTCTGGATTACATAATAACATTGGTGTTACATTGTAACGATGAATGTCGGACGTTATGTGATCGATATCGTATGTAGTGTGAATCCTACATTTCAAGTATGCTGAGTTCGTTCGGAGCAACCCCGAGCAGCTCGCGAGAGATAAAACGAACAATACTAATATATAACACGAAATTTATATCACATTATATATGTTGATATTAACTGCGTTATATTCTCAGTTGCCCATTATATTATACTATTTAAGGTTATTTTAAATATTAAAGGCTGATGAATTTGTATATATTGAATTTTTTTAGATTTTTAAATTTATCTTTTTCTTGTCTTATTATTTGTGATTTTATGCAAAACATTCAATGAATATCATTCCACGGGGGGATTCCCATTAGCGTACACTGCGATATCAGACGTTCGAAGTGCATAATGTGCATAATCCTTTGTCATTGTTTAATATTCGGTGAATAATAAGAATAAATAATGCATCATGCATCAAACGGAAGGCAGGCGCACATCGGCATTTTACCATTCATAAATCCGTATTTCTGGAAATCCATTATAATCCATTTCAATCCATTCTCGTTTGCTGGGTGGTTGATAATTGATGTAGAGAATGAATAACACATTTACCAATTAAAGAAGTGGTGTAGCGGGTAACGTAAAAGATTCACACATAATCCAGAGATGTCAGGTTCGAAACCCGCTAAGATGTGTTTTTTAATGCCAATTTGAAGTAGTTAATATTAGGTATAATTATTATAAATGTATTAGGAAATAAAATTTGTAATCTTTAAAGATAAATGTTTTTTTTTCGAATATTAAATTAATATCAGCTAAAATCCAATTCATTTCAATCCATTCAATCCATTTTCATGAATTTAAAGTACGCATTAAAAAAATTTTAATCCATTTTAATTCATTCTCGTATGTTGGGTCCAGCAAATGAGAATGGATTGAAATAAATTAAAAATGGATTCAGATTTTCAGAAATATTGGTTCACGAATGTTAAAATGAATGCTTTTCAATCATGAATGCATTTTTATTCATTTATAGGAATTGCATGGAGCATATCTCTATGCCTCTCAATCTAAAAATATTAGCTTTTTCTGTGCGCACAAACACACACAATTGTGAATACTGTTCAATTCAAAATTTTGAATAGGAAATGCAATTTTTCAATCCAATTGCATTCAAATGAATCTAATTGAATTCAATTAAATAAAACAAAAATGTATTCACTATTTTAAATATGCATTCGGATAGAAAAAATTTCAATCCATTTAAATCCATTCTCATTTACTGAGCGGCTATTTGATATGATATTAACAGAATTATTTCATTTTTTTATACGAAAAAAGATACCCACTTTTCAAAGATGTTTTAAAACAGTTTAACTGCAAAAAATCGTTTTGTTATTAAGTATACGTGATAAAATCGTTTTGTTATTAGTATGATAATGCAACTCTTGAAGAAGAAATATCACCTCTATAAATTGCCGTGCGACTGCTCAAAGACGAAGAAATTAAGTTTTCCGCAGACAGATTTTTAGTGAACACATAGCTTTTAGCATAATGAACATTTTAGGCTCGTTCATAGCTAGATTTGTTCGTCATTACGATTTGTTCTACATTTCACGAGAATTTCGAAGCTTGCGTTTAAATCTCAATGAACAGAGAGCAATTGAAAAAAAGCCTTTTTTGGTATTTTTAATTTTTTTCTATTTAACTAATAGATCGATTTTAATGTTCCATGTCTCATTTTGTAGCTATTTCAAATACCTACATTTTTCATATTGAACTTTTTTCCATACAATCAATATCTTTCGTCTTATAAACGAAAAACGTGCTTTTTGTAACTATTCGATTTCTTTCGCATATTTTCTTCACAAATCTCGAGTCTAAAACATATGTATTTCTTTTCTGATGGTCTTTCGAAGATTTTCGATGAAGAGAAATGCTAGTTTATAATTTTTATCCGGTAAAATTCACTTCTACTGAACTGTTCTTGCTACTCGAGTTTATGAAAGAGGTATACAACGCGCATGAAAAATCGTAAACAATTAAATATCTCATAAATTGTTGCATCTTAACATAATGTATACTATTATGGACTAATGAGAGGGGTACACTCTATTATTACAATTTATTAAAACTTATATGTTATTTAAATCGCGGTCTGATTCACGTTCACAACACTTAAAAATTATTTTATCCTTACTGTTTGTTAAAAGAAAACAAATAATGCTCGTGAGTATTATCAGCATGAATATGGCCTTAAAATGTCCGTCGCCCCTTTTTGATGCCGAGGTTCACCGAGCGGCCGAGAATGCTGCGAAAACATTTTCGGTCACTTGAAACAAGCGACTAGTGTGAGAAGGAGCACGCTGTCTCGTTTACACTTGGCGCGCCGAAGATAACACACTTTATGTTTCTCTTTCTATAGAGAACAAAGATAGAATGATAAACACACAAAAAGAACTAATAGCGTCTGCCCGAACGGATCTCATGTTATATCTTCCATCAGATTGTCATCTGATTCTATGTCGCTATATCGTCAACGCAGAGTTCTTGGCTGAAATTGAAGTATTCAGGAGTCTTAATCTCTACCCCACAGATCTCGCTGTAAATACAATATGGAAACTGAAGACCGATACAGAACACAGATACAAGATTTTTACGTCAGACAGACAATCTTTATTACAGGTATTTATCAAGAGTAATAATTAAATATTAGTAGAATTAAAATTATAAGAAAACGGCTCAAACGATTCAAAATCCAATATATAAACAAGAGCTACGAGACAATATAATATACTTATAAACAATATTAAAAGATAAAATTATAAAACAAAAGTAGAAAAAACAATAAAATTGATAATAGAACTTAATAAAATTGAACTTAACAACATAGAAAATGATCTCATGTGAGGTTGAAACGTATGTCCATCGTAAATTTTGTTATTAAATTCTGTTATCAATTTTATTGATTTTTCTACTTTTGTTTTATAATTTTAACTTCTAATATTGTTAATAAATATATTATATTGAGTCGTAGCTCTTGTCTATATATTGAATAATAAAATATTAATATTGTATTAAGAAGAGATCTCTTGTAAGAGATCTTGAAAAAATGCATTCTTTTATATATAATTTTTTTATATAACCTTAAACCTTCACCAGTACTCTGAAATTTTCGGCCATGGTTTGGCCGTTAAGGATCATAGCATATTTTTTATTATTCTGGATTATATAATAACATTGGTATTACGTTGTAACGATGAATGTCAGATGTCATGCGACCGATGTCGTACGTAGTGTGAATGCTACATTTCAAATACGCTGGGTTCGTTCGGAGTAATCTCGAGCAGCTCGCGAGAGACAAAATGAACAATACTAATATATAACACATTATGTATGCTGATATTAACTGCGTTGTGCTCTCAGTTGCCCATTGTACTGTTTAAGGTTACGTTAAATATTGAAGGCTGTTGAATTATTTTGTACATACTGAATTTTTTTAGATTTTTAAATTTATATCTTTTGTATCTTTTGCTTGTCTTATTGTTTGTGATTTTATGCTTAACAATCAACGAATATAATTTTCCACGGGAGGATTCCGTTAACGCACAATGCAGTTCCAAATGTCCAAAGTGCATTCCGTTTCACGCATGATGCATTATTTAATCTTGTTATTCACCGAATGTTAAACAAGGATAAATGATGCATATGTCTCATATGCAGTCCCTCTCATATCGGCCGAGTTAGGTTATGTAGATTGTAGTTAAAGTCTCGCTACAAATACTTTGAGGCATTTGATGACTTTGAAATTAGATAAAAGAATTTTACAAACTGAGTTTACAAACAAAGTTACCAACTTTTCACTCCTTTACCAATGAGAATATTTTATTTTAAATTGGTCAATTAGCGATGTGCGGAACTCTTCCTCATAAACCATTTTGAATGGATAAACGCGATAAAAAAGAATACCACTGCACGTTTTAAAGGCTATATCCGAAATTTACTATTAATGTGCGTCAAAGATATATCGGAAGTAACGTTGTCATATATTGCAGTGATAGGTGATTGTTTTGAAGAGAACCAAATAAATTTGAATGTGAATAAATTCGTATTTGCGTTTTATTCAGGATTAGGTAGTAACGCCATTACCGCTTTCGTTACTTTTTTCAGTAACAATCGTTACTTTATTCTGTCTGTAACGATAACGGTAACGTCGTTATATTTTTACAGTAATGATAATGAATTTAGCCATTACTTTTACCGTTAGTTCCCTATTATTTTCTTATTTTATAATTTACTTTTAGTTTCTTAAAAAATATTTTGTACTTAATAGTTCATACTGTGTTCTAATAGACACTGCCAGTGTTGAAAATATATAATTCATATCACATATATATTATTATACTGTAAATTTTTACGGTACGGGCAATAAATATTGACTTCGTCATTATGTGGCAAAAAGAACAAAATAGAATTGCCAAAAAAATCTCTAATTTGCGGGCTAAATATTCGCCAAGAAATATTGAATATCAATAGTATTAACTATAATATTACGCAATTTGTGGAGTCTGAGATGAATGGTGATATTTCTTGTGCACCTTTAAAATTAAAAACAGTTTCAACTAAAATTACGAATTCTAATACAATTTATTCATCGTATAATATTAATATTACTCCTGATAGATTTAATGAAAAATTTGATATACGGAATACTAACGAACAATGGCTGACAAATCTGAGTAATGTCAAAATTTCAGAAAAAGTCATAGTCGTATTACTTCGTATTACAATTAGGTCAACAGTTAAAATTTACTTAACAACGTGGTTAGTAAGGACAGTATTACACGTGAGTTCATCAAACACGTGGAATATAATCTTTTTAGAGCTGACGATGAAATACGTAAAAATGTTAGGAATGAAACTGTCCAAATTCTTAAATCGATTAAGAATTGTAACATTAAATCTGTTGAAAATACAATTTTACATGAAGGTGTAAAGGAGGTTAAGCGATTCATCTCAGAGAATCCGGATATTTTAATTACTAGAGCGGATAAAGGCAATACCACTGTAATTATGAGTCGAGATAGTTGCAAAGAAAAAATGTATGAGATTCTCAATGAGCATATACAATTCAATAAAAAAAGATCCTACTAATAAAATAACTGTGGAAATTGGTAATTTACTAAAAAATTAGAAAAACAAGGACTACATTGATTTAAATTTATACAAAAAATTGTATTTGTCGGATGGCGCACATCCGAGATCTTAT